CACAAACTACACCCCCTCTTCTGAGTGTACGTCATACAGTAAATACTTCAAAAAAAGGTTTTTAAAATGGGGTTTTGTTAAATGTTGGGTTGATCATGTCTCTCCTAGACCCCCTTCCCTTTCACAAACAATAAAGTCCAAGCTTCTTAGTATGACTTGGAAGTCCTCTATGATCCCCTTCCTGTTAGATAGGACAAGGGTCTCAAGGTCAGGGCAGTTCTAAATGTTTTTTCTTGCTAAATGTTAAAATGTAGCACAGTATTTTGTAGATACAGCTGTAAACTGGATGAGCTGACAGGAAATCAAGGAATGAAAGTAACCAAGTCTAGCTTGGCCAGCATGGCTCAGTGGTTGAGCATCAACCTATAAACCAGTAGGTCACGGTTCAATTCCTGGTCAGGGCACATATCCAGGTTGTGGGCTCAATCTCCAGTGTGGAACGTGCAGGAGGCAGCTGATGCTTGACTCTCTCTCATCATTCATTGATGTTTCTCTCTCTCTCCCTCTCTCTTCCTCTCTGAAATCAATAAAAGTATTTACTTAATAATTTTTTTTAAAGTAGCCAAGTACATGCCTTAACCGGTTTAGCTTAGTGGATAGAGCGTAGGCCTGCAGACTGAAGGGTCCCAGGTTCGATTCCAGTCAAGGGCATGTATCTTGGTTGCAGGCACATCCCTAGTGGGGAGTGTGCAGGAGGCAGCTGATCGGTGTTTCTCTCTCATCGATGTTTCTAACTCTTTATCCCTTCCCCTTCCTCTCTGTAAAAAATCAATAAAATATGTTTTAAAAAATAAAAATAAAAGATAAAGTAGCCAAGTACAGCCCAGCTGGCGTGGCTCAGTGATTGAGCATCAACCTATGAAACAGGAGGTCCCAGTTCGATTCCCGGTCAGGGCACATGCCTGGGTTGTGGGCTCAATCCCCAGTGTGAGGCGTGCAGGAGGGACCCAATCAATGATTCACTCTCATCACTGATGTCTCTCTCTCTCTCTCTTTCTCTCTCTCACTCTCTCTCCTTTCCTTTCTGAAATCAACAAAAATATATTTAAAAACTTAAAATTAAAAGTAGCCAAATATAAAGAAGTCAACATATAATTGACCAAATAGTGTCCATAAGAATAGCTAAGCCTCTCTTTTAGAAGGCAGAACCTCTTGTCTCCTTTACTTGCTGCAAGTAAAACTACCTTGTGATAACTACATCTCCTTTTTGACTATTGCAACCCAAGCAGCAAACCCCTTGAGTTTGGTAACATTCCCACATCTTCTCCATTCTTCCTCCTCCCAGGCCAGTGTCTGCACTACTGCCGGACACTGCTGCACTTTCTCACCACCACGTGCTCCCAGGGCTGGACCTGCACTAGTCCACGTGCAGCCTTGACCTGCACCAGGCTCCTGACCCTGGACCCATGACAGGTGTGGCCTGGGCAAGACGCACTCCGACACACCTTGTGCGTAGTTTCTTACGTTCCTCACCTGTCCTGATATGACAATGTTTCCGATAGTGTGGGTTAAAAGGAATGTTACTACTAGGCTCCTTCTTGCGCTCCATTATGCCCTACTTGGGGCTCTTGCCGCTCCCAAAGATTTGTTTCATGATTAACGGCCTTCAGTTTCCAGTAAACCGCCTCTCCCAGTTTCCATGGACCACCTGCACCTGGACCTCCACCTGCACCGGCCCCCACCAGCACCTGGGCCCCCACCTGCACCGG